CGACTCTGACGTTGAAGAAAAAGAGACGATGGTAGTAGTGACTCTCTCACATAGCCCACCACGTTCAACCACGTCCCCACAGGTAGTTCTTCAGTAGTCAGGTGGTCAAGGACTACATTGATATCAACAGAAACAGAGCCTAACGCTGCTTTGCTGCTTGGTTAGTTGCGTTCCAAAATCAGATGGCCAGTGGCGATGGTATAGCCCAGATAAATGGAAATCAAACAAAAACAACAAACCAAATGGCCTAGAAGAAAGAAATGACCACCTTGTGCAACAGATGTACCAAGATGAATAAGGGAAGAAGAAGAAAGAAGAGCAAGGGGTGAGAAGAAGGGGCAGCCCAACAGTGTAAAGCACAGAGAGTGCCTCACACTATGTGAGTACAAGCTAGAGATTACTGTGGATATTTATTTGCAATTCCATGCATAGCATCCATAATTGCTAGGCCGGAGACACCAGCCAAGAAAGTAGACCGTCGAGTCCGCCTGCTGCTAGGCTCAATTAGGCTCGGACAATATAGATGGTGTCACAGCCCATAGCCAGTCAGATCCATGTACAAAGAGTGGTTCATTAACCCCAATAACGGGTTGACTTAAAAGCTGTCGTTTGCTCGACCGGTGATGCTTATTGTGCAGCTCAAGCAATGAATTTGACACGTTGATTCCACTACGATATTCAGAGAGCTTCTTGGAAATGATCAAGGAGGGTTACTTGAGCATCAAAACGAAGAGATGTCGCTTTTTATACGGAAGGCCCCAACAACCATTAGAGCGTAATATATCATGACTTGAATATCAGGATTGTGAAGGCCGAATGTACGATCCCGATCAATAGAAAGTGTTGATAGACCAGTGGTGCTGGTAGGCCATTGGAGCTGGCATCTGGATCAGCGCGATGGGTGGAGCTTCCGGGGAAAACCATCGTTACATTTGCCCGCAAACAAGGGACAAATACATATAAATAATCCGATACCAAGCATTGTAACGTACTTAAATATGGCTTATTGACGATGGGCAAGGAGTTCGGTGAATAGTTCATTGATGCAGCAACCGGATTGGCTGTGCCTCGAAAATGTTCCCCGTAACTACTGCTCCGAGCCTCATGGATTTCGTTGCAATACAGGTATGCCGGACTTATGATAGCCCATCTTTCTGTTTGAGAGAGGAACAGTTGCCGATGATGTGACCTAGCGCTCAAGTCAGGTAGGATTTCTGTCGATCCGGGTTATGCCCCGGAATACGAAGCCCTTGCGTTATGAGTGTTCTGTCAGATTTTTTCACTTCGCCCTCGCAATTTCCTGTCTAATGATGCTTTCCCACGCATTTTAACCCAACCCAACTTCCACTGGAATGAGAATAGTGACATGACTCCCTTACCCCTCTATAAGCCGGGAGCGCTTTCGAACCTTTCCACATTCTCGCTGCTGCGTGCCTAGTAGAGAATGATCTACTTCGTCATCGGACGGAGTAGTCTCAGAACAATTATCTTCCACTTCACATGCAACACTCTTTCGTTTATCCAGAGTCACTAGAAGGTGCCTGAGTGGCTGTGCCCTGCGTGGTAGGCTGCTCGTAGTAGGTCACTACATGAAGTTCCTCGCTACGGATGATTAGATCATGATCCTCCTGCGTCTAAGATCCACTCTCCTTCTTCAATGCATCTATCTCGCCTATGATGAAGAGCTGTTTGCGAAGCCAGGCTTTCTTCCTCACTTTCAAAATGTGGTGTACACATACAGATGATTAATCTTGGATGGTTGTGGCATTCAATGACTCACTTATTTAACTAGCAAGTCAACTAGCCATTTGGCGAATAACTTCACAGGTTTGGCACTCGTTATCAGACATACGCAGACACCTCGACGGGGTACGGGCGACCTGAACAGTGGCAGTTGTTCTGAAGTATTTCTGCCAGCGGAATCCAAGAAATGTCCAAGAAGAATCTTTAAAGCAAAATAAATGTGTCGTGGTTGAGTTCCGCCCACCCGATAACTCTTGCCCCCTTCTTCCTCCATCGGGTCTCGGACATTTAAACAGCGCGACAGATAAGGCCTACCTCCACCCTACCGCACTATATCATTATGGAGTGAAACATCAGGGACGGAGGCTTGCTTTGCTAACGATTGGAAAGACAATTTATCTCCGGGTCTGCCGCAACGGTTGCCAAAGTGATCCTTAGTACGGACTGTCAGCGTTATGCACTCTGTCTTCCGAATGCTATTGCCGGAAGCATTATCGGCGGAACATCACCTCCTGTGAATACATCCGTCTGAAGCCACTGTTATACGGGGAATACGGGGAATACGGGAATACTGTCACCTGGGGACCAATTATATCTTCTGGGATAGCCGTGTCACAGGACCGCCCCCTTACCAGCGAGGGGTGTCCCACAGCCATAATGCGTTTAGCAGCCATAATGCAAATTTCCAATATCTTCAACTTCTAGCTCATTTTTTAGACATATAGGGTCCAGGATCCATAAAGTAAAGCCCATCAATATCCTCATTAGCCAATAATGTATCATGATCCTCATTTTCAAGTGTTTCCTTCAATTCCTTAGCCGCCAAATCGGCCGCCATTTTCTCTGCGTCTTTCCGCCAAGCACGAAGCTTCGAGTCAGCTTCTTTCTCACACCTTCGCTGTAAGAGCCTATTGCCTGAAATAAATGAAAGGGACTCTTTGTAGCACCTTTTACCCGTCGCTTGCTTTTTGTAGGTTTTTTCCCTGACGTTTTATGGCTAAGGGCGCGCCCAAGGCTCATCTCAGCAAGTTCCGCATTGTATAGAGACGATTCTCCGGCATCAATTGCGCGCCGTATATGCTTCCGAATTTTATGTAAATCAGGATTCGGGTTATCAAGCAGCGGGAAAACTGTCTTCTCCAATTTTCAATACGCGCATAAGAATTGGGCGGGTAATTAGTCGCTGAACTTGGTAATTCGCGGGTGGGTGACGGCTCGTCGTATATACGTAAGGTCTCTTCGTCCGAATACTGCCCTAAATTACCCAAAACTTGTGTCGGATCTAGTGGCCAGATACCGGTAGATTTGAAGGAGGTTTGGATAGTTTTGGACCTTAAGGCGTGGCGTCGGACGGCGTCAATATTGCGGAAAAGGTCGCGTTTTTCGTTGCTTCCACCCCAAGCCACAACCTCAGTATTCGCTATTTGAAACTTATGTTTTAGGCTTAAAAAAGCCTCAGCATAAAGGTGATGACATATATGAGTCGTGGGAGGTACAAAATACCAAGGAATAATCAGGTTTTCCTTACAAAAATCGAGAAATTCGATAATTGTATGCGACGCATGATTATCCATTAGCAAAAGCCTCGGTCGCCCGCGTCGGACACGGGTTTTTGTGGCTTCATGAAATGAGCATAGCCATCGGTAAGCAGACTCACTATCCGTCCAGCCACTAGACGTTAAATGGATAAATTTGTACGCCGAAGAAGAGGTTGACATATTACAATACCAGTCTTCCGTGTGGACGCTACCTTTGACTAGAAACCACGGAAACATCACCCAGCCATCAGCAGCAATACATCCAATGCCAGTAATAGTTTCACCTCAATCTCCAGTAGCAATACTAACAGTTTGACGCGTAGAGACGACGTGTTGGTTGAGTCCGCCATTTTGGAAGCCGGTTTCATCCCAATTATAGATCTCATGAGGTTCAAAGCCATGCTCACGGTAGAGACACTCAAGCCTATCATACCAATGGCTAATAACTCCAGGATCCTCGGCTTGAATTCGTAAAGATTCCTTTGATTTCTGGGTAATAAGCTTGATGTGTGGAGGTAGACGCCGTATAAGCCGATAGCTATACATTGAACTAACAACTCTCTCCGAACCCGCTATTTTCAATAGGCGATTTGCGGCAATTTCAATGCCTTTTGCAGTTGGAGGTGTATAGCAAGAATTTGGCACTTCGATCCAGCTAATCAATGCGTTTTCCTGATTCGAATTCAATGTATTATTCGTGGTAGGGCGATCGGAGACAGATGTCTGTCCGTTTTTGCGACCGCGAAGCTTCGAATAAGACACGCGATAATGGTCCGCAGCCTTACGTAGGGATGAATATTCTCGCGTAGTATAAGCATGTAATGCCTTAGCTAGCAGATCCTCTTCATCCCGAGTTTTTTTAGGCATTTTTGGTGGGTAGGAATACGCGTAAAAGTTGAAAAGGTAGGAAATTTGCAATATGGCTGTTAATTGCATTCTGGCTGTTGGACACCCCCTACCCGAAGGGTGGGGGGTCGTCTCGTGACACGGCTACATGTTTTGTATTACCTTTGTCCAGGGGATACTGACTAGGAGATTGCATATGCAAAGGTCCGAGGAAATATACATACGTAAACACATGCCGTCAGAGTCCAGCATAGTGGTCATTTAATTGCTGGAGTCTATTATTTTAGACGAAGAAGTACTAGAGAAAATTGCAAGTATAGATTTTGTGCAAGCCTCATATAAGGACCGAAGTGTTTTGAATCGGAAGATCTTTTACCCTCCCGGTATCCCGTTCCACTAAGAAGTCTTAGCGGCTTGAGAAGCCGCGTTTCGTTTCCGGCCGGGATCGATTCCGGAATGCGGGGTGGATCCACTGCACCAGGGAATGCGTGGTGGTAGTTAGGGAGTTAGGCAACCAATAGGGGAGTTCCCTGATTTCCGAGGAATACGCATAGTAGCTTCCCTCATACAAGCCGTTCGGAAATGCGGCTGTTCTGTCTCCGCAATCCGTAAAAGTACGGCACTTGCCAACGGCGAAGAACATTGACCAATTTAATGCTGATGCAGCAACAGGCACCTATATAAAAAGGGCCTTTTCGGCCTCCTTCATCGTAGCTACATGCTGGGCAATCTACAGCTGACTATCCTGCTGATTTTTACACATTAATCTGTGCCCTTCGCCATCTGTACTTCGACGTTTGCGTGCTATTTCTGGAACACGTTGCACAACGACAAAAAGGAACGGAACTTCTTAGTTTGAGCCAATCCTTCAACATGGCGTCTACAGTGCCCACCAGCAGCAGCCATAACGACTTCTTTGGCCTACCATCGGCATGGTCGCAGTGTTTGAACCCGATAGAGAACGGCATCCCTGGTCGCTTCGAAGGCGAGGTGGCCAACCTCGCTGTCTTTGGCGAAATACCCAAAGAGATTGACGGTACCTTTTATCGCATCATGGTCGATCCTGTCTTTCCTCCTCCTCCGGGAAATCCACCTGTAGAGGGTGATGGCAATATTTGTGCCTTCCGCGTCCACGATGGCTCCGTTGACATGAAGATTAAATATGTCGAGACTGAACGCCTAAAGCTTGAGCGAAAAGCGAATAAGAGGCTCTTTGGCCTATACCGGAGTCCATTCTCTCATCATCCGTGCGTCCGCGCAGCTATAGACTCAACGGCAAACACCAATCTCGTTTTCTGGGCTGGGAAGCTTCTAGCTTTGAAGGAAGGAGCCCAGCCGTACGCGGTGGATCCGGATACCCTCGACACCATCGAGTACGACCCATTCCAGTGTCCTGGCCAGACCTTCTCTGCTCACCCAAAGTTTGACCCCTTTACCGAGGAGCTCGTCTGCTTCGGCTATGAAGCCAAAGGTCTCGCAACTAACGATGTCGTTATTTACTCCCTGGATAAAATGGGCAATAAGCACCATGAGCAGTGGATCAAAGCACCCTGGTGTGCTCCTATCCATGACTGTGCTATCACCCAGAACTTTATCGTCCTGGTTCTTTGGCCTTTCGAGGCTGAGCTAGAACGTATCAAGGCGGGTGGTCAGCACTGGCAGTATAGTTATGATCGTCCTGCTACATTCATTGTTGTGCCAAGAAGACCAGATAGGCTGCCATCCGGCTGGAAGATGGGCGAATCCCGGTTGTATCACTGGGAAAATGCCGTCGCGATGCACACAGCATCGGCTTGGGAAGACGCCGATGGAAAGCTGTATTTCGAGGGCTCCCGTGTCTTTTACAACATTTTTCGCGTGTTCGACCCCCCAGGCGACCACCATGGCTCGAAGAATATGAAGGCAGATTATGTCCGTTGGAAGATCGATCTTAGTCAACCAAGTGGAACCCTCGTGGCAGATCCTGAAATCATCCTGGATCTTCCAGCCGAACTAGCGCGAGTGGACGAAAGATTTCTAACTCGCCCTTATGACCTTATTTTCTCCCCTGTGCTGCTTCCCAACAAGCCAAGTACCTTACCGCCAATCGTGCCTATTTGTCTTAACGGATATGTCATGCTCGAAAAGCAGAGTGGTAGGCGAACATTCTTCGACCCTGGGTATAATAGCACTACTGAAGAGCCAATCTTTATTCCGCGGTCGGAGAGTGCTCCAGAGGGCGATGGATGGATAATGGGAATGGTGCAGAGGATGGACGAAAACAGAAGCGACTTAATGGTGATTGATACCAAGGACTTCAGTAAGCCGGTCGCTATCATACAGCTTCCGTTTCGGACTAAGAACCAGGTTCATGGTAACTGGGTCGAGGCAAAAACGCAGTCGGAAGGTTACAAGGCTTTGGTGGGGAGAAAATAGGAGGGAAGATGCTAAGTGCGATGTGTATCGAGAACTGACTAACCAGTTTGATAAGTTTTTACTATCTATCTTGTTGTAATGGCGTTGCGGTAACTAATAAAGACATGATCTAAGAGGCTATAGCGATGATACGTAGGACTCTGGTATGAGTGAGCTTTAATAGAGCATACCTCGTGTTGTACTGTCAGACAGTTTTCATGATATTATTTAAATGGATATTGTGGTATGTTCGGGTTTGTGAGACTTTGAATTTGGCCCTTAGTTTACTTGAGAAGTGGTACTCAAAGAAGTACAGCGAGACTTACACATAGTAAAGGTAGCTTGCGTATTATTTGAGGTGAGGGGCCAGGGCAAATGAAGGACTATATTAGAAGAACCCCCTTCTCCGTTCTACTAACTGTAACAGGTAAGGCGTAGTAATTGTATTTCCAATGTATTTTTCGGTTAAAATGGATGCATTGCTTGGCAATACCAGATGCCCCGAGCATCGGCGGTCATGGACCTAAGGTAAACCCCATCGTACGGGTTCTCCCAGCACGTGTTATCAGTCGCAGGATGTTCAGACCGTCTATAGCAGCTTATCTGTTCTTCATAATCAGCGCTTCGACGCAATCGGTCGTCAACAGTGGACCAGGATTCGCTACATAGGAGTCCAACCTCGAATAAGTAAGAATACGACGCTGAGCTAGTATGCTCTGTTATCTTCAGATCTACCAATCCAATTTAGCGAAAGAATTTGACCATGATGTTGCATCCGGCTGAATCGGAATGCACTGGACTTGGTGTTCATGTAGCTCCGCAAGTTGTGTGTTATGAGTGCTTAGATTCTATGGCGTGTAAGTCGTTTTGATTTTCGTTCATCACCTCTGCTAACACTTACTCAGAACGGACCCTCTTTTATGGTCAAGGCCAGATGTTTTGTGTCCTTTACCCATCTGTTTTATCCTTGGCCCAGTTATAAGTTACCGCTCCATGTCTCCACAACTGTTGTTGGAATGGATGTGACTAAAGGTCCAAAAATTTGGGTAAATTGAGTTCGCATGTATTCAAACAGTCTATCTAGGATAATCAAACACTAGAATGATAGTAGTCAACTAAATTACACTGATGCCTGTGTATTCTTACCGTACAAGACCCAACCCTTTCATCTCCATAATAGACGCAAAACTCGGTTGCTTGCTTAGCTGATGTTATTATTCTTTGCATGACTCGCCGGTTGTCGCTTGATGCAATCAACCACCTTCTTTTGCAAGGTTATTCTTCTACCTCTACAACAGGGGTGAGCTCTCTCCTACGTATCTTTACCCCTCTTGGTGGCTAAGACCTAGTTTTTAGGCAGGCAGCTTGCTCGGGTTTCTCTATCTCTCAAGCGGGAGGAGACAAGGAACGTCAGAGCTTGTAGCATGGTGGACGAAGAAAGGCATCTTTTTACCTCAGACCAATCCTGACGGCACGTGATTGGATGCTCTCGCAACAGCAGCACTCCAATGCACTAAGCTGTTATAGGTTAAAGATCATTATGTTTTACTGTGAGTCCGTCAGAACACTGTCGTTACGGCGTCCTTCTGCTCCATCCTGTACGGAGAAAAAGATGGCTACCTCGGCCGACCGCTTACAGGCTTGGAAATTGCGGAGGAATGCATGGGCGGGATGTAAGTGAGGCTTTCGACTTCGTCTAGCATATTAGCTGACCAACGTCTGAGGAAAGTTTTGGATGCACTGGAACAACCGCAAACACATTTACTTCCCTCTTATTTTACTTCCCTCTTATGGGCCATGATCCAGCATCAGGAGGTGGCAAGCAAGTCGAAGTCTGATCTATTATCTGCATTTTCAAGTGCTAGGTCAGTGCCCGGCTATTAAGTAGGCCCCGTCAGACATTTATGCTATCCAAAACGTCAAGAAGTAACAATAACCCTGGCTTGTTCTCGTTATATTCTGGGATACATGTTTACAATTACCTTCGTCCAGGGTAGACTAACGGAGACCGCGCGCGCCAAGGCCCTGAATGACCCGAGGAAATAAAGACACATAAACACATGCCGTCAGAGTCCGGCTTAGTGGTCATTCAATTGCCGAAATTTATTATAATTTCAACCCTAAATTTTGTGCAAGCTCCACATAAGCACCAAAGTGTTTCGAATCGGCAGGTCTTTCACCCTCCCGGTGCTCTCGTTCCACTACGCAGTCTTAGCGGCTTGAGAAGCCGCGTTTTGTTTCCGGCCGGGATCGATTCTGGATTGCGGGGCGGATCCACCGTAACAGGGAATGCGCGGGGAGAAACGCCGAGCCGGGGGAAACCTTAGCGGGGAGAAATGCCGAAGAAAGGAAGGTTTTTAATGCTCCCAATCTTGAAAAATGCCAGTGCCAGTAATTGGGTTGAAATACGGGGAAGCCGGGGTACCGTTCAACGTGGTTTTCCAACTTGACGTTTTCCTAGTGGAAGTCACATCCTCCTGTATCTGTGGCGTTGCCATTGTGGAAATAAATATATAAATATATATATAATAAGTAAAGGCGCCCCAGATTTCGCACTGCTGGCGCCCAAGTTGCAAAACAACTTTGTTCCGTAGCATTTGTCAACTCGGGGTCTGAATCCGCCCTCCATGGCTTCACAGTCTGCCATTGCGCCCTCGGCGCCAGAAGAACCGACGACCCATGTTAACTCAAAGACAATCATCTGTCTTGTGGTGTGTCTACCCTCTATCCTCTACCCGCAGCGATCGGCTTCAGACTGACATACCTCCATGCAGGCCATCAACATCACCTACATGGCACAATTCATCTCTCTCATCGGGTCAGGCTTCTTGGCACAGTCAATGGCACAAATTGTCGGTGGTACAAACAAGACCGTCTGGTACTCCTCTTGCATCGTCATTATGACAGTTGCCCTGAACCCGCCCGTCAGCCAGGCCGCTGACTACTGGGGCCGGAAACCAATCCTCATTGCCTTGTCTCTTACCGGTATGGTCGGATCCATAATTGTGTCCCGGGCCCAAAATTCTAGCACCATCATCGCCGGCTTTGCCATTCTCGGCCTCAACTTCGGATGTCAGTCAGTTATCCTGGCTGTTTTGTCGGAAGTTCTGCCCCGACAATACCGACCCATGGGTCAAGCGTCTGCCATGGTAGCATCCAGCCTGGGAGCAATTACTGGGTTGCTAATGGGTGGAGGAATGCTCCAACACGGCAACCTTACCCACTACCGTATATACTGGTATATTGAAGCTGGTCTCTACGTAATCGGGGCTCTAGGGTGTCTTATCGGCTACAATCCTCCCCCCGAGAACTTCAAGCATCCCTCAGCACGTATGAAAAGCTCAACCGTCTTGACTGGATTGGATACTTCCTTTTTGCCCCGGGGCTCGTCCTATTTTCCATGGCGCTGTCGTGGTCCAACAACCCATATTCCTGGAGCAGTGCGAACATCCTTGGTCCATTCATTATCGGCGTCGTCGCCATGATCCTCTTCGCTGTTCACGAATGGCGCTTCAAGAGGGATGGCATACTTAATCATGACCTGTGGGTTAATAGGAACTTCGCCGTCTCCCTTCTTGTCATTTTCGTCGAAGGCCTTGCCTTCTTCGCGGTCAACTCCTACTTCGCCTTTGAAATTACAGTTATATATGACGCGAACATTCTCTCGGCTGGTGCCAGCTTGACCATCATGTTTTTTTCAGGTCTGGTTTTCTCCTCAGTGTTCGGGCTGTGGTCGTCGAAGTGCAAGACGATTCGGCCGCCCCTCATTCTGGGTTGTGTTTCCCTTCTGTTGTTCTTTATTCTTCTGGCAACGGTCAAGATAGACACTCCCCGCTATGCCTTCTACATATTCCCACTTCTGTCTGGCATTGCTATGGGTTCTATTGTGCCACTCTCAATGGTCTCTGCTCAGTTAACAACTTCCCCAGAGTTAATCACTTTAGCATCGGCGTTGATGACTTCAGTCAGGGGTTTGGGAGGCGCAATTGGCCTAGCCATCAACAATGCCGTTCTGAACGACACCTTGGATAAGGAGCTACCTGCGAAAGTCGGTGCTGCGGCGCTCTCACTGGGACTGCCATCCTCATCTTTGCCTGAACTGATCAACGCTCTGGCCACGCAAAGCAAGGACGCTGTCGCCGCGGTGCCAGGGGTCACCCCCGAGATTGCTCAGGCGGCAGTGGTAGCGATGAAAGAGGCGTACTTGTCCGCCTTTAGAAACGCCTGGGTTATTTCAGCATCGTTTTGTGTCGTCTTAGTGATATGTGAGTCTTCCAATGTCCCATATCAAAATACATACTTATCAGCCACAGCATCTTGTTTCATAAGGGAACAGCGAGCTGACTTTGACGCCCGCATCGATGCCCCCATGGATGCTGGGTTGTACAATGTACAAGGCCATTTGGTGTTGTCGCAAGATATGGAAAAATCAGTCGACAGTCATGGCCCCAAAGGGACGAGCGTGAAGCACGAAGAAATTGTTCCATCCTAGCCGATAGCCATGACCAAGGTTGAGCGGAAAGGTGCTTTGAGTCGGTCAAAGTTTTAGTGTTTACTGACGCAGCTTATCTGCATACTTGTACTTGATTGTATGGTTTTTGTTCAAGACTGCTCTCTTGAAAGACGTTCACGCCCCAGAAGAAGCTGGGTATCTCTTCGTTTCGCTACTACGGCCGGAATATGAAGAAAATAGGATATAACCCGTAGTGAACGGCTCCGCAATTACACAACAAAGAATATTAACTGTCTACTCTTCCATATATAATTCTTCGCATACTGTTTCTGGCACATCATTTGGCCTGTCTAACAACCCACCTTTTTCGTGGGTAACGAGCCGCTTCAAATGATGAATCTTCAGTTGGTAATGCTTTTTTCCGATTGGGTCCACCCGACAATATGGGCCCAATGGGCAGGTCGACGATGCGCATCGTATGAGATTGGAGATGCTACGCCAGATAGGTCTTTCTCCAAAAGCATCCTGCTCGGCATCAATATGACCGGCTCCCCTTATCAAGCATTTTCTTCCGGACAAAGGCTTTTCCTCTTTTCTCCCCTTGATACGCTTCGACGAAGCGATCGTAGATAGTATCCTGGACGTAGATACGCGAACCCGCCGCACAAACCTTCCCATTATTCGCGGTAATTCCAATGCGCGTCCAGAACAGGGCATTTTCAAGATCGCAATCGTCGAAGACAATCGACGGGCCTTTGCCGCCCAGCTCGAGGCTCACTTTCTTTAAGTTGGTGCGTGACGCAGCTTCCAGGATTTTGCGACCTGCGATTGCACTGCCGGTGAATGCAACTTTGCGGACCTCCATATGTTCGGAAATAGCCTGGCCAGCGCCGGCTCCTTCGCCGGTCACGATGTTTACTACTCCAGCTGGAATGCCTGCTTCCTTGATGAGCTGCGCCAATCGCTGAGCGTAAAGTGGAGACACCTCTGAACTCTTGATGATCAGGACATTGCCTGTCGCCAGCGCTGGGGCAAGCTTCCAGATTGTAATCATTCTACCGGCCGGCGGAGATGTCAATTTCAGCATTGACAGTTTGCTTCTCTGTCGTCTTGATTCAAGGTTCTGGATGCGTGGGAAATTCGTCCCCTATCAAATTATATGAGAGTGAGACTGCACGCCCGTAGCTATAGAAATAAAGGACGGACCGATACTTGTCGAACATTCGTTGGCCGTTGCGACGTCGGTTCAAGACCACCTGCCACGCTCCCAGGCAAAGTCTCTATGGGCTGCGCAAGTGATCTTCCCGCCCCTGCCGACCGGGGAACCGCGCGTTCGGGCGGCACCAACGGGTTTCTCGACGTTGTCGCTGCCTTTGGCATGGTGAAAGGGAATCCGATGGAAAACGAAAGATTGACTGATTCTTTGCAAAAAAAAAAGGTCCTTGCCAGAGGATTGTTCGAGGTGCGAAAGCGGGTAATTTATCTGCTAGCCTTTGAGACCGCGCCCGACGAACTACAAAACGTTTGAAATTTGAGTGAGCGATGGTCTCAAACCCGTTCTGCACGTCCCAACTGAGAGTGATGGCCCACTGACGACTATATTGGCAATCACACATCACTTAAAATTCTCCGTCACCTTTCGTATTAGCTGAAATTTACTGTCTTCCGTTTATCTGCGGTGGCTGGACTGTCCTCGAGCTTGGCTCGTCTCACAACGGCAAGAATTGCCCTCATTGAGCAGCATAATAGTAGCTCTTAATAATTTGTATGAGAAGGGGTTAGACTCTGAAATTTCCAATCTGGTGTTAACATTCTCATGCATAATCTGAGAGCATGAGAGCATCTAAAAAGGATCATGAAATCCTTAGCGTAGATTCGGCATGATTTCAACCCCGCGCAGAACGATGATCTCCAAACATGCCATTGGACACAGCAGTATATTTCTTGCTCAGAGACTCAAGTAAAACACTGAGGGCCATAACTTTGATGGCCTGGTAGCGTAGCCCTCTCTGCACTCTGCTTCCGTGATCGCGACTTGCACGTAAATCTGCTTGAGCTGTCGTAGAAGCCGTCTTCTCTCCTTCGCAGGCCCCGCAAGAATACCGCCGCCCGTGACTGGCTCAGTGCTGCATCTGCGTAGCCCTGGGGCCGCTTGGGTTTTCTCGTGCCCTTCATCGTTTGCCTTGCAAATTGCGATCGTATCGTGTACCGTATGAACAGTGAGAGCTGCCTCTCTGTCACTGGCACAGTATCAAAGGGGATGATTTGAAAGACAAGAGCAGCAGTATTAAAACAGCGCGGCTTCTGTACAGCCTGCTATGACGTTATCACTAGTAATATTGCACTCAATTTGGCAGGAGGCTTAGACCTCAAAAACTCGAAGTCAAACACGGTCTTATGAGGGCCCACGACCCGACAGGCTTCGCTACGCCACCGACATGTGAAAGTAATTCTGCTTGGCTCCCGGCGCCCAAGATGAAGCAGCCTCTTTCGCCTGTTTATCTTGGGATGTTCTAATATGCTCTCGGCGAACGGCGACCCACTTCCACAATTTGTCTCTGAAGCCCCACTCTGGGCATGTCGATCCGAAGAGGGGCAAACCGGGGTTTGTTTCCTAAGACTCAGCCTGTTCTCCTTCCAAATAAACAGCATCCCTGTCGAGTGAAATGAGATGGCCTTTGTACGGCCTCCTATGAGATTACTATGAAATCACCAATCAGGAATATCACACCCAAAATCTAAACCAAAATTGACCTTGTCTGCTGGTGTTGAGACTACGGGAGACGTCTCGGGGAAACTCGAAGTCAAAGGCAGCTTTATGAGGTCCCGTTGAGTCAACCGATTTCGTGACCACCAACATTTGAAACGGAATCTGTTTGGCTCCGGGCGTTCAAAATGAAGTTATCTTCCCTCACCTGTTTATCTTGGGATTTTTCAATATGCTCATGTGAATGGCGGCCTACTACTGCGGTTTATCATTGGTGACCGACCCTGGGACGGAGTGTGGGCCCCAGCACGGTCGATCCAGAAAAGGGCAAAAGGCTTGTTTATTTCTTGGCGGCTCGGCCTGTTACCTTGTATTTTATATACACCTGATAAATAAACAGCACCCACGCCGCCCTTGAAAGTTTCGGCTGTGGTCCGCTACAGACAATTTTCCAACATCTCCCCAAGCAATGTAACCATGGGGCCAAAGTGAAAAGGAATGCGCCGCCGTCCATTGGTAGATTCTGCCCGTGCAAGGGAAAGGACAGCCCTGCCCTGTGTAAGTGGCTTACGGGTACCACACGAGGCAATCTCGCCAGGCTTTTCGCATGTCAACCACCGGCATGTTTGAGATAAACTCGTGTGTGCGTGTGTGTGTGAGAGAGAAAGAGATTCGGCCAGACAGACCCGTTGCTATGGTTATTTCTCACACGACTAACAGGAGACTCGTTCACGATTCTTACCCAAGACGACACACATTCTGTATAGCTACGTTTCTGCTGTTTATTCCTCCATAATGCACTATTTGGGTCACAGTGTTGTGCCTGCGAGAGCGGGCCCCGCGGTCAAAAAGAGACCGGCCCCAGCAAGCGTGGAACACACAGCCCAAATCACTCCTAGCTTAGCCCAGCGGCACATCATCGACGAATCATTAATTGTGGCTCAAGCCATGTAGCCCATATTTGGTTCGCCCATTTGTCAGGATAATACAAATTTCTGGATAAAACGGCACTCTCAGTTAACTGTGCGTCCATGCGTAGTTCTAGGATCTGCCGATGTATTTACAGGGCCCCATAGGGCCCAGCATAAAGGCAAGGCCTCCGCCGTTGTTTCCTATTCTCCTTTTAGCCCTGGTTTGAGTATGGCTACTAGTGGCCTTCCGCTGTGTGCCCTCCCATTGAGGTCGAGGCTACGGCACACGTAAACCCACTGTAGTTACGAACACAAATCCTGGGCTACGTTCCAGGTCGGATTTAGTTCTACACGTAGACTGCTGGTCATGCACAAATCCTGGATCAAGTACTAGGTCGGGTTGCGATGAGATGTCCCTTGCCTGCCCTCCAGCAAATGACAGACACCTCTGCGCGGTGCTGAGACTATTACTCGGTTTAATCTGAGCCGAGGAAGACAAGATCTGTCCTCAAGTTTTACACGACATTTTACACAGTCCGTGGAACTGGCAAGAACTATTCATATTTTAAAACTGTCAATAGTGTTCAAAGACCCCGTGTCCGCCCAATTAACACCGCTTTTAAGTGGCATAGGATACCTGAAAGAGGCAAATAATCATCGCGGGACGACAAGATAGTTAATCTCGCCTACGCGATATCCAAACCAGTATAGGCAAAATATAAGACCACGTAACTTTGAGGCTACACATGCATTGAGTTGCTCGAGCTTTAAGCTGTTTAATTCAAACCTGCTTAGCTCAAACTCGAGCCTGTTCAAAATGGCCATTCCATAAGTAGCTGAAACTTTATTTCTGTTTGACCATATTATTTATACCACTGATCCTGTTAAAGAATCCCCCACGGCAAAAATACACGCAGGTGCTGCGGGTCGTGTTGGTCTCATCCTCAATGGAACCATGGGTCAAAATATGTTTATTTTACTGTGGTTATAACGATTTTCACCAGCCTGTAGGCAGAACGACTGAATCATTAAAATATATACTATTCATTTATCGCAGACAAGATTTTGATTAATTAGTGGCCCCACCAAATACTACAAGCAAATCATGGTAGTGTTCGTTCAAGATAGTGTTCGTTCAAGTGTCCGTCAGAATATGAAATCCATGTCTCAATATTTAGCTTTCTATGCGCCAGATTCTCAGCCAAAGTGAACATATTCGGGTGAATAGGTAAAGCAACTTCACTTTTCACCAACTACGCTAGTTTTGCTATTATCTGTTCGTGAACTTTGCCGGTACTTAACACTAATTGTACGTCACCTTTCTATCCTCAATTTTATCACCAGATAATTCGGTGACCAAAAGGGGCTTTCAGCTGCCGTTCAACTTTGCCACGGTCTGCTAAGCACCAGCTAACACAACGCCTCGACAGCTAAAAAGCCGCCTCTGCCTGAATACTAGGTTATTGCAGTGATCTCCTATTTTCTGTCCGCTGGTGATTATTTAGCGTATGTGAAATATTTGCTCGGAGGACGTAACCTCCCTCCCGCACCTCCCCCCAACAAAGAATTGATCCGTAAATACCCAAGAGAAGTCTACTGTTGACCGCTACCCCGCCTGGCCTAGATAGCGGATCAGAATAAAGTCAGCCGCGGGTAAACTTGGCTGATGTTCTGAACGACCCCCGTGTGCGTTTAGACTCCAGTAGCATAAGAAGGAGTCATTGCAGTTCAAAGAGCAATAAGTACGGCACTCCGATTGTATCTCAGTAAGGAGCGAGAGTTTTATCTGGATAAATCAGACAAAAGGTCGTTCACAAAACTGACCCTGCCTAGGGCAGTACAATCTTGGAGGGAGAAGCGAGAAGTCCGCGCACGGAAAAGAATCAATGACACTTTATATCCTTTCGGGGCTGGCGTGTTTATCTCAGGCAAGGACCAAATTCTCATCATGAGCAACCGCATTCATATCGACAAGAATTTTCAAAGACTTCAAATTTCGAAAATTAGTCACGTACCACAGCCCATGCATATCTTCAGATCGGGAGCATTCCCAGCAATTCGGGCCTTTAATCCATTCTATTGGTGGACCCGTATAACCCCACTTTATTGATTTCCAACACGAGTTCAAATCCACGTGATGAATAGCTGCCGATTCAGTTTCAAATAGACCTCGCCAAGCGCGGGTTTGGGTTGGGTTTTCAACTTCTTTATCCGCCCACGGGCAACCCTGTTGATTATAAGCGATGCTTCAGTGTTCATGTTATTGAGGGGAGTTGATTGTGTGTTGTGTTGTATGTTATCTAAGATACAAGTAGGCTGGTGAACAGGTATATATGTATGCACGTGATCCTAGCCTCATCATTATCTCAGCAACCGGGATATTTCAACAACCACCCGCCCACGGGTCTGCTGACTAAGACCCAACCCAACCTACGGGTTGGGTTTTCGTGGGCGGGTTTGGGCGGTGCCGGTTTTGGCGAGGCCTAGTTCCAAATGCCGCTCGCCACTTTTCGAAATTCGATTCCTTCAACACACCTCAAAAATGATACAATCGCAGTGGTAGATTACCATCCAGAACCTCCCTAGCAATATCCAGTCGAAGGTTAAGAGTGTTGTTTGGTTTGGTTTCACCCGCAACCTGCAGGATAGCGGTCGCATCCCCAATTATCCCAAGGATCAGACTAAGGTTATCTGCGCTACTGGTGATTTGGTCTGCAGGGGTGTGCTGACTATTACCCCAGCGCATTTGATTTACGGTGCGAATGCGCTTGGAGGCAGCGACGTTCCTTGCTTCCAAAATTTCGGTTTAAACGGTGTTGTATCTATTTGTCGAATCCATCCGTAAGGACTAGTGCCGATGGAGCCAATTATTATGATTGATTGAAGATGTTAGAATCCCTTGTGTTTACCATACAAAAGACCATGCACGAGTGGGGAGTAGGCAAGGAAGAATACCGAAAAACTGCACCTATCGAAAACACGTGGTTCTTACTTGTCAGTCAATCGACAGAGGCATTTCAGTCATTTTAATCCACCATGATCCATCGCCAAATTGCTGACATCTGATAAAGTCTCAACACTTTTGAGTTGGCTGAATCTGCCCGTGAAAAGACCCCTCATAGGGCCCTTGAGTCCCGAAGTGTCAAGCGAAAGGTCTCCCGGGTGCTGAGGCGAGCCACCCTGGATATTTGTTAAAGCAAACCAAAATACACTGCAATGTCTAAACCAACCTCAGCAATGCCTCATTTCACGTCGCTCACGTCGACAGAAAACAGAAGTAAAAGTAAAGAGAGATAAAACACTTTTGCATCACCCTTTCTGAGGTGCATCCATTGTGGCCTCCAGCCTTTTGTATCTCCACTCATAAACCGCCATTTCTCTTTTGACATTAGGAGAGAAGTTCTCCTCTTTGCCAGCCAGTTCCTTTTCGCTGTCCATCAAAGCTTTCCATCGCTCGAGAATTTGGCCTTGGGCTTCGGTGACCGAGGTCAAGTCTGGGTCCTGCGAGGCCATGCGCTCGTCATACGTAGATCGCCATGCCAGTTGTGCCAAGAAAAGTGCCATCTCGAATTTGCTGTATTTCAGTCCTTGAGCCTCGGGCACCATGTTGTCTTGTGCGCATTTCCGGGGCATCGGAGGAAAGTATTTTTTGAAAGGAATGTGCTAGACTCGGAATAGCAGTGGAGTATGTTGTGAAAAGCAACGACTGTAGATAAGGTAGTATTGTTTTCAAGGAACGAAGCCTGTATATCCAACCGGCAATGGTGAAGCAGGAGGATCAGTAATATCCGACGCTACGAGGCTGGGGTCGAAATGCCATGGAACAGCAACGCCACATGGCGAACTTGCACCAAAATGAGGTAGTGCGGAACAGATAAAGCACTAGGCATGCGAGGTTATGAAGGCTTAGCGGGAAATAGGCTCCCGCGGCTGTCCTGCTGTGATAGGACCACATAAACCCCTCAAACCTAGACTAACGCTCTTCAGGAATCTGCAATCATTATGGGGGTCAAAATAGCGACGACCGCCCATTCGTTCACCGACAATACTTTGCTTGGATCGTAATCGCCTCAAAGTCGGAAAAAAGTCTTCTTGACTGCAGTTTAACGACCTTCCACTTGGGACCTAAATGCGGCCAACCGTCTAATATGGCTGAGCTCCTCAAGGCCATTCCTGTAGTTTAGAGGCGCTGGTGGAGAACGAGGGGAATTATCATAATGCGATGGCTTACACTGAAGGATACGTGACCCTAAGTATTATCATTGTATGGATTCGACTGTATGAAAAGAACATCCATAGGGATGCAAACAAGCCAAACATGAGAAACCGGAAGGTTCTCGTGAATCTGACAAGATGTCACTTCCCTCTCCCGCTCTCCGAGCCGACGTGCTTCAAGAGTCAACTTTATGATTGATTAGCTCTGAGGAAAAGATCGGCCGATTTCTCAGTGGTAGACCGGTCGGCGCTAAATACAGCAGACGGCAACTCGCGTTCCAACGCGCTAGTATATACGCTACATCTCAACGATACGCTACATTTCAACGCGTTATAGCAGTCACTCTTACCCGATTAAACCGCCAACACGTGAGAAAAGACCCAGAGCTTGATTGCATTCTAGGACTAAGATCAGCAATTAAGTGAAGTTTCTGCCAGCAGTATTGGAAAGTGGGCCCTAGACAGAAGCACACGAGGTCGATTACTTATGCAACACCACTGTAGTTGGATTCTAAACCCACACTTACTAGGCTGAGTACGGATTCGTATTTTGGTCCAGTTTGGAAATTGAACTTAAATGGCAGCTATGGGCGTCCGAGATCTTCCGAGCAGAAAATGAACGTATCCTAGTAGCTGGAGGATCTGCAGCATGCCCTCCGTTTACTCTAAACTACGAATTTTATACCTATTATTGCGCAAGAAAATAATTGCAATATCTTAGCAAACGGGTTTCGTAGTACTGTTTACGTAATTGATAGTTCGTAGATTTGATGAACCCACTTTGACCGGAGAACCGAGTAATACCATCGATTGCTTCGTCAAAGTGTTCTGATCTTATAATCTCCATTGTAACTTCCGTTGAATGTTATCTTCACATTCAAATGTATCAATACCTCATTTCCGTTTTTGAGGTAATACCTGATAGCTCCTTTCGCACAAAAAAGATTGACGCGGATGTTGTCCACACACAAGTCCATCTGCGTATCTCGATTTCGCACTTTCCTATGTCCAAGACTTTAAATCGTACCTATCGAGTTACTGCGAAGGAAGATTTGAAGGAGTTTTAAAAGCTAAGCACGGAGAGTGTTATTGAACGGCCCTGGGGCAACAGAACTATCCTGAGTGAAATACGCAAAGCTCTCATCATGCTTTACCGTCAATTTAACGCTCCTTTCCCGCTAATTCCACTTGCCTCGAAGACCCTAGTGAGAGGCCGAGCTATAGAACTGTGCTCAGAGGCTCCGACCCAATTACCATGGACCTGGCCACGGAGGTAAAGAGGCATTTGGACGATGGCAATGGGCTTAGAAAAATCCCTGCTGTCGATGATTACCAGATCACTTCTCCTCTGCTTCACACGCTGGATCATCGACAGAATCCAACCATCACCTTCAGGGCTGTTCTCTCTTCGCGGGATGAAGATGGGCTCTTCCACTACACACTCCTCGCCAGGCTTGAAGTAATCAATTGTGCCTGCCTTCTTGTCGACTTTTGCCAACGCATTCAAGGCCACCGGCATGGGAAATCCGTTCGATGGCAAATCAGCAGCTACCACAGGAAGATAGATGATGTTGTACTCTCGCCCCATCCGACGTTCGTCGATGCGAGGGAATTCCGAAGGCAGGTTAACTACGATTTCCGGATCCGGAATCGTGCTTTGAGTCGGCCGTGAGAGGTCAAGCTCCCAACGTACAAAATCAGCTGCCGGGTTCATGCTGAATGGCAAGGAGCCTTTTCCTCCCCAGGATGGAGACAAATTGGCGAAGACTCTGGATGTTTCAATGTATATTTTGCCATTCCCCTCCCAGGCGCCGGCGGAATGCAGGAGGAATGAATTTTGTGTCCATTGGTAAGTGCGCGCCTCACCCTTACTCCACCCTTCAGGTACTTTGTCAGCTCGTCTCGGAATAACTTGGAAGGTGACATTCCGGCCTTCAGCCCACTTCCAGTGATGACCACCGTTTTTCATGCCTTCCAAGTCCGCTTCGAATGGCCACATGAACAAAATTATAAAGTTTGTGGTGATCGCACAGTCATGAATCATGGCTGCCCATGGAGTATGATTCCACTGCACATCCTTGATTTCACCATCCCGTGTAATGCTGTAAGTCACAACATCGTCAGAAGCTAGCCCATTTGCTTCGTAGCCGTAGACAACAAGCTCGTTGGTGAATGGATCGACCTTAGGGTGCGCGGAAAACGTCTTTCCCGGAGATTTAAAAGGGTCGTAGCTCAGGGTCTCCAGGGTATTTGGGTCGACCGCGTAAGGCAAGGCACTTTCCTTGAGTGCAAGAACCTGCCCATTCCAGAATATCAGATTGGTATTTGCGGTTGAGTCAACTGCAGCGCGGACACATGGATGGTGGCTGAAAGGATTGCGGTACAGCCCGAACAAGCGTTTGCCCGCGGCTCGCTCGAGCTTGAGGCGCTCTGTGTCGACATATCTGATTTTAAGGTCGACCTTGCCGTCATGGATGCGGAAGGCAGAAATGCTCCCATCCCCTTCAATGGGAGGATTGCCCGGCAGCAAGGGATAGAAAGGATCAACCATGATGCGGTAGAAAGTACCATCAATCTCCTTCGGTAATTCACCGAGAACAACTAGGTCGGCCATCTCACCCTCAACGCGGCCAGGAGCACCCACCGATGCGGGCCCAAGTGCTGGAGGCTTTCGATCTGATGTAAGGCCAAAATGGTCGGGGTTGGGGTGCGCGTTAGACTGGTTGGGGGGTGAAGCAGGCGACATGGCGACCGAATTAGCGATTCAGGAGACTCGTGTGAGCTTTGGATACTTGAGGATACTTCAAAATGTCTACAAATACACCAGTGGTGATCTGAGGTATTTGTAGGCGGACGGCGCGCTATGCCTTTGCTTCTACGTGGGTCTTGTTCCATCGTACTCCATACACGGCTCGGTGATTTTGTGGATCAACAGCTGCAATGGGTTTAAAATACGGCGCCCGCTTGCACTTGTTCAGCCGAGAAAGTTGTCAGCGGATGTCGGAGTAATTCTTGGTTCTGCAGCAGGTGCCACCGGCAATTCTCGAGCTCATGGTTTGCGAGCCGCACGAACTCTATTTTCCGAACTGTTACGGGCGGTCTCGTAGGGAGAATAGGAGACAATGCAATGTATGGGAGTTTTCGCTGTAGATAGATTTCAACGATTTAGCAGACAGACCAGAAAGTACTGGGCAGGTCGGAAAATTAGATAGCAATAATTGAGGGAAGGAAAGAAATGAGTTTACGCCATACAACAATTGCGTTGGCTGAACCTTGTCCGGTCTTTGAACAACATATTGGCTCGTTACTCGGCAAATCCCCGTTGTAGACTCGGTCCGTTTTTCCCAGATTTCGATGCAAGGGTGTAATCGGCAAATTAGCGACCATTTTTATTGGAGGGATTAGATCTGAACGTGCATGCAGTACTGGTCTGTACGTTGTCGGTAGACTGTATCTCGGAACGTCTCGACGCGAGAATGGGGCATTGCTTTCAGGGCCATGTTACTTTACCAATATCAGCTGCTTGGGAATTCCAGAATATAAAAATACCTCTTGTCATTTACCGGAACCGCAACCCGTGCCCATCGCTTTTGTTTCGCCCGTTACCCTGGCCTGGCCCACTGGTCCCTACCAGAACCTTTGAGAATGCCGCAATTATAATCTGAGGGGTCAAGAGTCGAGCATCTCTGCTGCTCCACTCTACTAGTTATAGCCCGCGCAAAGGTTGTCGAAGCGAGGTCTCTCATAATGATGGATGGAGTTCTCTGTTCTACCTCTACGACAGGAAGCAGCCGATTTGTGATACAAGATGTCTCTGTTTTCGGACTTGGCCGTTGGAGATGCTTCTCAAGTTTAATGCTGACCAGCCCTCTTCCCGCGAGCAATTGGCGTTTTAAATTTCCTGTCGGTAACCACTTAACTTAGATCACACTTACAAAAAAGCAGGGTAGTGCTATCATGTGGGGAAGGCAGGGAGATTCCTTTTCCCGCCCATGCGGAATGGTTTCTTGACAACGAAGTTCCTCGAAAGCTCGGTCACGTTATTCTGCAATCACATATGCGTAGCCCAGCTAGCCGTGCCGCGTTTTCCGGGGAGTTAGTGCTTGTTGCGGTTACCCAGATAGCCATCCCATACCATAAAATTATCACACAACCACACTCTCAATCATCCATCATGCAGCGAGCCACCCGCGCTTGTGATATCTGCCGCAGGCACAAGATACGGTGTGGTGGGCAGCAGCCTTGTGTGCGCTGTAATCAGAAGGGTCTGGTCTGCCTTTACACTACTCCACATCGCCGGCGAGGCCCCGAGAAAGGGGCCAAATCACGCATGACCCATAGGATGGCTAGACTGGAGGGTCTAATTTATGGGAGTGTTGGTGTATCAAATCGAAGCGATCCGCAACAGCCTGCCTTGTTTTACGGAGATCCAATTGGAAATATGAAGTCAACTTCAATTCAAGAGTCAGCATCTCCTCAGCAGGATACACCATCTCGTAGGGTGGGATCAGACATTACGTCATCGTGGAGAGGACAGGGTGCGTATCTAATTTAATTCCGCCGCGTATACCATGCGACATATCTAACAAATATAGAATGCTCCGTGAGCGCCCAAGGGTCAGGGTTACCGCGAACAACAGTCCCTTCACAAGAACCCGTGCCAGACAGTGTCAATGCCTCGACATTGGGAGTGGCAATAACCGGTGATTCAGCTGAATTTTCGTGTCCTGCCGTGCCCCTTGTGGCAGTTGAGGCTTATGCTCACTATTCTACATTTCCAGAGAATGATCCATTGAACAAGTGAGGGATCAACGGTCCTGCGTGGGAAGGTATGGCAACTTACGAATTCTTTCAGAACGTATCCGGATACCGAAATCGTCCTTCATCTCATAGACAAGTATTTCTATCACTTGCACGGCCAGCAATATACATTTCTGCATCGTGAGTCGCTTGTTAGGGGTATATTAGAAAGGTCGGCTGCCCCAGAGCTCGTATATAGCGTCTGTGCAGTATCCGCAAGGCAAGTGGGATTTAGCCGTAGCAGGTTAACCGAGAGTACAATAACTAATATACGGGGACTTTGTCTAGGTTTTCGGACCATGACGCCATTATAAGGGAGCCTTTATATGCTGCCGGTGATAGTTATGGGGATGAAGCCATTCGACTCATCTACCAAGACCTTAATAACCCCACCCTAGCCAAGATCCAGTCGCTCCTTCTATTGTGCTTACATGCTGCGGGGGCTTCGCAATTCGCAAAGGCATGGACGCTGGGTGGAATGGCCTTTCGACTCTGCTACGTTCTGTGTTTGCACAAAGACACTGAGTGGCCAAGTGACTGTTGTTGGCTGGACGGGGAATTGCGAAGAAGGACTTTTTGGGCTGCCTTCCTGTTGGAGAGATTTTCTGGCGCAGGATCTGACTCCACGTGGATAATTGGGGTCAATGGAACCACTCCATGCCTCCCAGCCTGCGAGAGGGATTTTTTGCTAGGTAGAGGTATAATTACTCCTAAATTATTCGATTCGGACAATACCGATGCCTCTAATTTGGGTCTTGTCGCTTACTTGGTTCGAATCGCCGAAATATGGAGCAGAGTTGTTCGCAGCATTACCCACCGAGATCTACAAACCGTCCATGGCACCGCAACAACCGCATATACCACCTTGAAGTCAGACATTCAATTCTGGCGCTCCAGGCTCCCCGAGCGATTACATTACTCTATACAAAATCTTTCGCGATGTGTTCTGACGGGTGAAGGCGGTGTCTTTGCATTCCTTCACATGCTATATCATCTTACATGCTGTTTGATTGAACAACTGATCTTGATCAAACCGCGCGGCAGCATTCCTAAATTCGTGACAATCCAGTCAGAGTCAGTATTGGCAAATAATGCAATGGAGTGTATTATGGTATTTCACAAAACGACAACGACACATTCCTCCCTTTTGAACACTCCTATGGCTGCATATTTCCTACTCGTGTCTGGCATTGCTATGGCCCGTCAATGTTTTTGTGCCGACTCAAGATTGTCTTCTACCGCCCAAAACTGGTACAACAAATCAATAAACGGTCTCTCCAAACTCCAGAAGTACTGGAAGCCGGCAGAGCAGTATTCTGAAACTCTTCTCACCTATCGACGGTCCTGTGAAAACCTAACGGGCTCTCTGCCGGTTAGAAGACCACTGGGCTCTCAGAAAAGAAGAATGCATTCTCAAGAAAAACCTCTACATATTAATGAACTCCGTCGCAACACCCGGCATACAGGCTATTCTGATTTATCAACGGCGCCCCGAAGGAGCAGAGTGGGAAAGATGGCAGAACAGGCCTCAAATTGGGTCGGGCAAGATTTGCTCAGTCCTATGGCCATAGACTATGACCTACAGCCAATGCCCTGGTCTGCTCTAGGTTTATTGATGCCTATGGAATACGGGAACTTCTTCCCTATGAGTCCGCTGTCCTGGCTACCCAATGAAACTGACGGCAGCCAAGCGAATTTTGACTGCAGTCCGATCACACAGGACATGGAATGAAAGGCTTAACCAGTAAAGTTGCTTCTACGACTGCACCTGGTTCAAAGGAGAGTCCTACAAATTGATAGATCTTTGCGCACCCATGTACCTCCTCGTGTAGCCCTCCAATTTTAGAGGGTATCCCAGAAAAGCCCAACCTACACTATAAACTGTGCCTGAGGCAGTATACTAGGTCCCGGATAACTAAGATCTGCTGACCCATCTTAAGTCAAATTGGCCATAGGTATATTCTGCGAATGGGTAAAGCAAGATCTAAGTTTAATCTAAGTAGAATACAAACGGTGTACAAAGGGCTTTACTAAAATCAACATTATATGTACGTTTAAGAATCCCAGAACAAAGGAAAAAAAATACATTACTGTCTTTTTGACCCGACCTGGCCTGTTTGAGACCCTATTGGTGCCATTTGAACTTATTGATGCACCCGCCAACTTCTATCGATTTGTTAATGATACTCTGCAAACTATCTCCATTTGTTCCGCAATGCCTGACTAGGTGATATCCTGGTCTATAGCAAAGACCGCGCCAAACACACCCGTCACGTCTGTCTAATCCTGCAACGCCCACGTGGGCCACTAGGGCCAAACTATACAGGTCCGCGATCCCTCTTGGCTGTATGATGACACAAAAAAGTTATACAAAAAGGAAGGGGGTTCGCCTAACATAATAATACTTTTACGTAGTCACTGTATATTTATACGTTGATTCCACTGAGTTGCGGGATAGGGAATGGCAGCCTGTGTCTACAATTGAGCAACATTGGAAAGTTTAACATGAACCGTTGGTAGTAGTGTGCTTTATACGCTTCCCAAAGATCAACCACATTACCATATAAAGCTAGCGAGTGTAGGGAGGACGGAGAGTAACAGAAGCGCTCAGTCACATGATATTTACCAAGGAAGCCTTAGCGGTATTTGAAGACTGTTGAAAACTCAACTAATACAAGGAGTACCGATTTAACCCAGTGACGGGACCACTCATGGCTGGCCTTTGTTCATTAACTCTCAATCTCGGAGGTCGCATACCTGGCAGCAAGTCCGGTAGCATGGGCCCCTATATTATCTTCTTGAGCGCTTCGCCACTGCTTGAGATCGAAGCACACAAATACCAAAACCATGATAAATCTCTGTACGCTACCTGCGCGCAGTATCTGTCGCTTCCGAGATGGCACTTAATTCGCGGATGTTTCTTCTTTTGCCTGGTCTGAAAGACTCTGTGGTAAATTCGACTGTCGGAGGAAGACACATTGAAGTAACTATGCCCGAGAATGCTCGAAAATCAATGAGTTGATGGCAGAATAATGGAGATCTGCGTCGTATTGACTCGTCAGGTATTCTACGGAAATCTGGGATATACCATCCTGCAATACCACCGGGGCGCGCCCCCTCCTCTTCCCTCCTCCAATCTCCTCCATTATTGTAGGTTTATGTGATACTGTTACTATATTTGTGGCTGTCCCGGCGCGAATAGTTGAGGACCTGACGATGGAAACCAACATGGCCGGATCGGGATGATAACGGAAGGCGCTCCTGTTTCATGGGACATATCAAGCATCACCCCCCAGATAGAATCCTCTTCCTTTTTCTCTCTCCGGACTTGATACCTTCGTTAAATGCACAGGTTTCTCCCGAGTTCCTTCTGGCTGTAACAATACGGGCCACCTCGGACTATAACCCCCGAGTCTTGATTGTTCTCATCAACACCCGTCAAGTCCAGTAGTCTGGTTCGTTTTTCAGGATATTCACTCATTTAATCTCATCCATTGATTTCCCCTTTCATATCCCAATGTTCTGATGGGCAGGAAGTTCTTCGTATTTCGTAGTTTATACTTTCATAGTTCATACAGGCCAATCCAGTCAGTAACTCACCCTTTCGCGGTGAGGCGCTATGGTCAATACCTGTTCCGTGCGAGGATTTATGATGGAAAGGATATTGATTTGTGAGAGGGACAGTGCAATAGTTATCAGGCCAGCCCTGTGGGGGAAAACAGGGCTCGACCGCGGTAACTGATGTTGCAGCCACGACGCGAGGTGGAACCGGTTCGACTCAGGAGAGCTTAGTGATTCGCCAGACTTCATGTTCTACCTCATCTTGAACTTTCCCTAGTCTCCTCAAACCAAATCTCGATTCCAAAAATATTACGCTTCATCGACTTAATTTGTTTCCCGGTGCGTCAGAAACCTTCCACGGCGGCGGGTTCTCGGCACCGGTATATCTGATGACTGGTCTCAGTATGCAGGAATAAATCTTCGATCCACTTTGCTAGGAAAGTGCCTGTTTCGAATATCTTCGTGTCGTAGTAGAGAGAGAGCTTGTCGTAGACCTGTGCAGCAGAGTAGTTGCAAGTGGGGACGACTTTGCCAGTATTGGGCTTGGTTTCGACGTCAGCCGTGACGTAGTAGTCATATTAACTATTGAACATCACAAGCGCACAGTCCATGGAAGTATAGGGATGTCGGGCTTGGGTGCGTGGGGTCCAGGCGAAGTAGAAGGCTGAGTAGGACCGTGAGGAAGAGGGGCCCGCAAAATGAAAAAGATGTACCTCAATATATTAACTACGCCGAACGAAAATTTTCCTGTTGTGAGCGAGAGCGGTGACTTCTAAGCTTATATTGACATTCGTACCAGCGGACGACCCCGTTGTAACTTACATTCGTAATGACACCCGGCAACTCTTCAAGTTATAAGGCCAAATTGACCCCGAAAATGGGTTCCATGAGGTGCATCCTATTCCATTGCCTACCAGAAAAGACTTGAAGAAGTGAAAATTTCTCGTTGATTCCTTACACGCCAGTTTGGTATGCTGGTACGTCCCTTCAGACGCCGATAGCATACATGAGATGAGTGAATGAGGTATTGAGAACAAAATATGGATTATTCGCTCCGGAATGGTACAGCTTGCAATTAGTCTTCTAGATTTCTCGGAAGGCTCTCAATCTAGACAGAATGTGACATAGCGCGAGAAAGCATGGTACAGAGAATAAATTTACAACTCCAAGACGAAACAAAAGCATATTGCCCTTATCATGGGATTTTGTCTAGGGGCGAGGAAGGATATGATACTTGACTGCCTTGACGGTTGTCCAGCCTTCAAGGGCATCCTCACCCATATCGCGCCCGAACCCACTCTCATTCACTCCGCTGAATGGAACATTGGGACAGAGCACTGCCCATGCGTTTAATGTGACCTGGCCAAAATCAAGTGCCTTCGGGACGCGGTGGGCGCGATTGATGTCATTGGCGAAAAGGGCCGCACTGAGACCGTAATGAGAGTCGTTGGCTTTGGTGATAACTTCTTCCTCGGTGAAGAATTTGGCAATGCTCTGAATTTCCCATGGAGTAAATATCATTGGCTCGAAGAATTAGTGGGAAATAACTTACTGCAACGGGACCAAAAATCTCTTCACGCATAATTGTTGCATCATCCGCGACGTCTGCAAAGGCTGTGTTTTGAACAAAATACCCCTTTTTGCCCAATCTTTCTCCTCCGAACAGCAACCGGGCACCAGACTTCTTACCCTGCCGAATATAATCCAAGATCTTCTGATGCTGGGTGCAATTCACCACGGGACCCTTGGTAGTCGCAGCATCTAGCGGATTGCCAGCGACGGTTGGATTGTTGGCGGCGGCGTTTTGATACGCTTCGACGAAGCGATCGTAGATAGTATCCTGGACGTAGATGCGCGAACCCGCCGCACAAACCTGCCCATTATTCGCGGTAATTCCAATGCGCGTCCAGAACAGGGCATTTTCAAGATCGCAATCGTCGAAGACAATCGACGGGCCTTTGCCGCCCAGCTCGAGGCTCACTTTCTTTAAGTTGGTGCGTGACGCAGCTTCCAGGATTTTGCGACCTGCGATTGCACTGCCGGTGAATGCAACTTTGCGGACCTCCATATGTTCGGAAATAGCCTGGCCAGCGCCGGCTCCTTCGCCGGTCACGATGTTTACTACTCCAGCTGGAATGCCTGCTTCCTTGATGAGCTGCGCCAATCGCTGAGCGTAAAGTGGAGACACCTCTGAACTCTTGATGATCAGGACATTGCCTGTCGCCAGCGCTGGGGCAAGCTTCCAGATTGTAATCATTCTACCGGCCGGCGGAGATGTCAATTTCAGCACCGTTAATTGACATCGGGGATATCTCGCATGGAAATGGGTAAGTAACTTACAGTGGGGCATTCCAAGGAATGATTGCAGCACAGACACCCAGTGGCTCACGGTGGGTGTAGGCAATGCCACCATCCATCTCGAGCACTTTCCCATCGATCTTATCAGCCCAACCAGCATAGTAGCGAAGACAGCCAAGCGCCTGTGGGATGTTCGTTTCCATGGAATCCGTATAGAGCAGTCCGGCATCCACAGCCTCGAGCGATGCCAGATCCTGGGCATCGCGCTCAATCAGATCGGCCAGCTTCAGGAGAAAGCGACCTTTCGCAAACCCTGGGACTGCTTTCCAGGCCTGGAGGCCAGTCTTGGCCTACTCTACGGCCTTGTCAATGTCCTCTTTCCCGGCAGCGGAGATAGTTCCGAGCTCTTCGCCTGTTAAGGGATTCTCTATGCGCAATGTTTGGCCGATCAGAGACGGCACAAATTCATTGTGAATGAAAAGACCAGTAGGAACTGTATGAGGTTACAACATATTAGTGTCGAAAAAAAAGTGGACTTGGATCAATGTTAAACAGAGTGGAAAGGGAAAAGGATCACCTGTAACTTGGCGGCCTTTTACCCCAACTATAGCCAATGAAGACGACATTTTGAGCATCAGCCGATGTTTGTAAGATAGCCACAGGCCAATTCTACAACCGTTACGTATGAAGGGTAAATATCAAAGTATTCATTCATTTTGACCGACCGTCTCGAGGATCCTTTTGAAGACGCGAACCCTTCAGGTATAGGAACCACTGCGGGAGAACCAGACCGGCCCTGCGCGCCAAGTGCCAAACTTACACGGATTTAGGAGACGGAACAGGCCACATTTCGTCACAGCTTGCAGAGGGAATTTACTATGCGTATTCCTCGGAAATCAGGGAGCTCCGCTATTGGTTGCGCAACTCCCTAACTACCACCCCGCATTCCCCGGTGCAGTGGATGCGCCCCGCATTCCGGAATCGATCCCGGCCGGAAAAAAAACGCGGCTTCTCAAGCCGCTAAGACTAAGTGGAGCTGGAGCACCGGGAGAGTAAAAGATCTTGCGACTTTGGTCCTTATGTGGAGCTTGCACAGAATTTAGACTTGCAACTATCTTCTTACACTTCTTGGTCTAAAATAATTAATAAATATCGGCAATTAAATGACCACTAAGCCCTTACTGCATGTGTTCATGTATCTAACTTATATTTCCTCAGGCCTTTTACGACCTTAGCGTATACAGCCTCCGTTAGTCCACCGTGGACGCAGGCAATACAAAACATGCATCCCAGAAGATTAACAGTGGTTGTCAAGCGACATTATTCCCCGTATACTGTAACAGTCTTCGGCAGGATATATCCACAGTGGTAGTGCGGTATCGATAATGTTTCCGACAATAGTATTCGGAGGACAGAGCGTTTAACGCCGACAGTCCGCACCGAGGGTCACTTTGGCAGCCCGTTGCGTCAAACCCGGAGACGAACGGTCTTTCCAATTCGCTAGCAAACAAACCCTCCGTTCTTAATATATCGTTTCTCTATTGATGTAGCGCGGTAAAATGGGAGGTAGGCCTTACCTATTCTTCGATGTCGCACTGTTTAGAGGCGCGAGAACCGTTGGAGGAAAACGCAGGCGTGAGTCTAGGGACGGAAGAAACTCAAACAACACAGAGTTATGTTCTATATGGTAAATTGAGTCATCAAATAATAATATTGGAGGGCAAATATCCAAGAATTAATCCAGTGCCTAGCGGCCCATGATTTGGTCAACCGAACAGGATTCAATTGGTTATTCCACGTATTGCTCGTTTGATCCAGTTGGGTCTTAAAAATGTACTTGGTCAAGTAAAAGAAAACCCTAAAAATGAGACGGCGGAACGGGTTTGCTCCGAAGCCCACGACGAATGTGTTCGGACGAGAGTCCGGAAAGAAGAAGGTCTAGATTCTCACGCTGAGCCCAGACTCCACTTCCGTCTTTCTATAATGGTTCTTGGAGCATACAGTACTGAGTAGGCCTAGCCCTTTCTCAGCCACCGCCCCACCCCACCCCACGTCTGATTGCAGGGGAAAGACAGCGAGGAAGAAAGTTATTTCCTGGATGCATGCCCGGAGATTATTGAATGCCACAAATTAAAGTTCAACCTCGGCACCCAATGAATGTCGTCGCAGTGGGCACGGCAAGCCACGGCATCCGTCTACGCGCCGGAATGAAGTCCCTGTCTCGGCGCTTCAGAAGGACTCCAGCTGCCGTATGGATGATTAGTCGGCTGCTTTAGAGACGGGAACCCGGCTGGGAGAGGAGATATGAGGGGTGGCTTATAAGTTTTAGTAAGCGGCGTTTCGGAACTCACGAAGTCCTTTAGGAAAGGAAGGACGATTAACTTCTGTTTACAGTACTTGAATCCCTCAAAGCTTCTTCCTCATATTCCTTGCTCTACTTAGACTTTACTAATATCACCTACGGAACGAAGAGGAATTCCAGTTAAAAGCGCCCCGTACGACGGACTTCAGATTGGCCTAGCTTAACTCCCCTAAATTATCAGGCTAGCGCTTGATTGTTGATAAAACAACGCTGACAGCCCATTACTTATCAAGTGCACTCTACTATCATTACCACGGCCTGTCTGCGACTATCGAACGATGACACTCCCACGAGTTTCATCTCCAAACATCTTAATTTTTCAAAGATTGCGAGATGACAGCCCAGAATTTGCAACCAAATATCTATGTACTTTTGCCGTTCTGATTACTTCTTATTACCTCGTTCCGCTTCTAGGTTGTTTGTTCTTCTCTCACCTTTGAGGAAGCTTTCTGGTCCATTTTTGGCCCGGATGACACGCTGGTGGGCATATCTTTTAGTGATGAGAGGCTACTCGAATCTGGAATACGAATATCACATGATACATACGAAAAGTCTGTCGAATTCCATAGAATCCCATAGTGGATCCCTGCAAATTGGACTTTGCAGATGCCACCCGATGTCTTATTACCGGGAGATCTGCCTCGAAGCACCAGCTTTTCATTTCAGCCGCACAATAGACACACACTCCTTTACTAGCCACACAATTGCGTCACTCAGAAATGCTGGATCTTCGCCAACCTCTCCAGAGTTTCATTTCCAGTTTCAATAGAGATTAGAAAATACAAAATAAACGTCTTTCAGATACTTTCCGTACGATTAGTAATCAAATTGCTTTTTGCCATGAACGTAAAGAAGCCACGTACTAAAGTAATATAGTGATGATTTCCTATAGGGACGATACTGCAAGGCACTACTTTACATCTGCAATGCGCAAGGTGTTTAACCTCTCTGCAAGTCGCCGGGTCCTAGTCAATCTCACAACAGCTTCCTCCTTGACAATAATTCACAGTTCGGCAAATTCTATTGGGGTCCTCTTGTTAAGACGTATAAATTGAGTTATGCAAGGGACTCAGATCGAGATCGAGATCAGCAAATTTGGATGTGACCTCACCACATGTAAACAATCCATAACATTTTGCCTAGTAATCGCAGCGCGTGGAATACGAAGTATCCTTGATATATTGTAAATGTGATACCATACCTATCTATATCCTAAATATTGGTTATCTTTATTTTATTGACAAATAGTTCAGCTGAAGAAGCCGCGAATTTGTTCGTCAGACAAAGTCTTCAAACCAAACGCCTCGTTGAACAGCTTTCCGGAATCGAACTGGCTTCCGAAACCTTCTCCAAAGATCGCTCGCTGGATGAAAAGGGGTGCAAAGACTCCTGGGTTAGGAGCCGGCTTGCCCAACTCCACAAACGCATCCTTTTCCAAATCAATTGTCGGGACGGTCTTCGTCTCAATACTCTTGCCCGACAAGGCCAACAGCTGTTTCTGGGACACAGAGGTCGAGCTGACGTAGACGGTCTTGTTCTTGGTTTCCGGGAGGTTGTTGATGATTCCGGCAATTCCGCGACCAACATCGGCGAGAGTGGTGGCGTTGAATTTTCGCTCGCCGCCATCATACAATGTTACAACAGGTCCAGAACGTTTGAGCAAGAATCCCATTTTGAGGCCCCAGTCAAGGAATGGGCCAGTGATGAGGAGCGAGTAACTCAGACCAGATTTCTTAGTGGCCTTTTTAAGATGTTCCTGAATGGCCACCTTGTCGCCATAGACGGGAAGCTTGGCAGTCTGGGGATTGGTCGTGTCGCATCCGTATTCTGAGGGAATGTACCGCTTTACTCCAGCGGCGACAGCAGCGTCAACGAGACGGAGGTGGGTGTCCCGTGGAACTGCACCCACACCAAGTGTGCTGACCACGACATCCTGGCCAGCCAGGGCATTCTTGAGGGAGTCAAGAGATTCATAGTCGACTTTTGCGACTTGGGCTCTTGCGTCGAAGGTCTTGTCACTGTCTTGACGAGTCAGAACTGTCACATCGAACCCAGCGTCCAGCAATTGATTCAGGACAGCTGGGCCTAGGTTGCCGCTTCCCTGGTCGACGTTAGTTAAGCGCAAAAGATAGGATGGCAAAGTTACTTACACCGGCGAGAGCAACTTTAGCAGGCATTCTGTCAAGATCAAGTCTGGCTTTGGTAATGTTCGTATCGAAGTTGGTCTGATTGAAGGTTGAACAGTTCAACTTTCGAGGAGGCGTACCCTCGTTATATACCTGGATACATCCTTGGCATTGTCGGAGGGATTCGCAATCACTTTCCCCTTTGTAATCACCCCGGGCCCTCCGTTTTGCATGATAAGTGATAAAAATGCCGAGTTGGTCAGCCTTAGGATCTTGGTCCCGCGCTTACATGTATATCGTTAGAAATTTGCGGAAAACTCCCGCACAGGCAGCGGCTTTGTCACCCCTCCCGTTGGCATCGTTAGCGTCAGTCTACCTCTCTCAGTTTGATACTGATAATGGTCGGTGTCAGTTTCCCAGTAAGAATTCTACCGGATATTCTTGCTGACCGATATACTGGCCCGATCAATCCCCTCATTCCGGTTGCCCTGGTTTCATCGATCATGCTATTTAGCAGGATAGGCGTTACAGGATTGAGCGGTTTGTATATATTTGAAGTGTTTTACGGCGTATTCTCGGCTAATCTGCAATCCTTGTTTCCGGCCAGTCTAACATCATTAACAATGGACTTGGAGAAGATTGCTGTTCGAACTGCAATGGTGTTAAGTATCAGCTACGCAGCCCTCACAGGATCGCCAATTGGGGAAGCATTGATACAAACCGGTAGCGGCAGTTACTTGTGTACCCAGTGTTTTGCTACTGTTATTATGCGTGTTGGGACTATTGTACCTGCTAGATGGCAAAGTGAACAACATGGCATTATCGTCGTTTGTGAGAGGTGAAGCTGGACTTGGGGCACAGAAGGTGTGGAACGAATTGAACGAAATCTTAGAAATTCAGCCAGGAATCACGAGCTATCTCGGTGTACCTGAGGAACACAGGGAGCCAAATGGCGAGGCGTCGGGCTGAGAAAGGAGTCAGACGGATCTTGTCGATCCACATACGGTTACGTGCCTGGATCATAAAGCACTAGGTCAAGTACCGCAAATTGCCGAAGAACTACCGCTTATGGCCGTGTCGAGCAGCGGCAGTTGCACATGATGATAGCTATCCGTTACCTTTAAGATATTGGCAGTCTATGGCCTGCAGTGCTTATCAGACATGGAGGTTGTGTGTCGAACGCGAAACAGTAGAGAACATGGCTGAATCGGGATGACAAGACAAGGCGCTCCTTATCATGGGACATATCGGGCAGCATACCACCAGCTAGATTTCTCGTCCTGTTTCCATACAATTTGCCCGGATTACTGCAGCGCGGCGTCTTCCGCCGTATGGGAATGAACTGCAGCATGGGTTTGGTT